AAGCCAGTGACACGCTAATAATACGTGCAATATATATATATATATATATATATATCAGCGGCTTAGACCGATTTCATGATAAATCGGTCTAAGCCACTATCACCGTCCTTCTAGCCTAAAGTTTTATGATTTTATGATGAAAGCCCCGTTGATTTTCATCTTGTGGGGGCCTTTTCTCTTATCAATCAGTCAGCAAACGGTGCTCAATTATGATCGTTTTCAATAGAATATGATAGAAGTTCATTTTGAACTACATGTTCATTAGTTACATCTAAAGCTACTTTGCGGTGCTAACATCGAGAGTGTTCGATAGAATGAGCACGTCCACGGGCACACATGTACACGGGTGTACAAATATAGATAGCCCTATGGTAATTGAAGCTGACTGTGGTTGTCTCAACGTTGTAGCTAAATTTTGTTTTAAATTAGTATGTATCTAGCAGGAAATGATAACTTTCATAATATTTTAATTGAGATAACACCCAAATCCTTAGACGAAAGTTTCTCGCGAGGCCCAATCAAATCCTGAATGAAAGCTTTGCCGTAGTGAACATTGCTTAATGAATAAATACAACTATGTTGTCCATAATGTGATACACAGTAATGCTTTGTATGACAGATACGCAAATGCCATATGCGCGTAGAAAATAAGGGAAATACTAGGACATCGATTATATCGGTCAAAAGGTAAAAAAGCAAAAGAATATCTACCCATACAGTTGTTTTCATAAATAAAACTGAACGTTTATTACGTGCAGACGTGTTATACAGTGACATGGAGCCGGGGTCATGTCGTTACATAACAAGTAGGACATTTACCGACATTGTACCATATGTCGATGGGATGCGACGGGATAGATCCCATACTTGGGGATATGCATAGAAAGACCATTTTGCAATAGCATTTTAGTGGATGCATTTTTTGGCGGTTTGATTTATGTTAAGCGTGTACCTTTCTTATATTTTTCAGCTTATAATCCATAAACTCGGTCGTCTAGGTTCATTTGGCAAGCGGCACTCGCTGTGCGAAGTTTTTCCTCTGTCAGAAAATTTGTAGCGGCTTCTTAGTTCATTATCTGTGTTTTCTCTCATTTTCGGCGTTCGTTTCTACTTCGCTGGAACCTCCTAGTTGCGCTAAAACTATACCGATAGCCATGCGAACAATGATGAAGCCCAGTTAGTCGTGGGTTGTATGGGCTTTCTATCGCTCGTTGTCAGGGGAGGGAAGGGAGGCCCCCGACGACCAGCTGTCGACAGGCCAAATCGTTGGAGAATGAACCACTATTCTTTTTGGATATATGCTTGTTTGTCTTGTATATTAAATTGTGTTGTGAGGCCGGCCACACAGACAGTTCCGTTAAGTTATAAGACACTGCTTGCCAAACGGATCAGAGCGTCGCAATACGCACAGAAGCGTTCAAAATATTGAGACATAAACACGTATATCTGCAACGCGTAGAAGGTGGTGTATGATTGAAAGAACAAAGCGACAAGCTCAAGCTGATTCTTCTTCATTGATGTCGATAAGGGATGAGAAAAAGACGTGAATTTATGCCAGTCCAATGACACTGAAAACAACACCGAATACATGTTGAATTAGGGTTCAGCCTATATGCCGGCCTATATAAAGAAATATCCTTAGGCAACACATCGACGAAATCTATAAAGCGTTACATTGTGGGCGCGAAATGCCGACCGCATAGCCCAACGGTTTCATGCGCACTGCTAAGCTACAAGTACAAGCTAGATATGCACCTTCTTCATGGGTTATTTTGATTTCAAGCAGCTGCTATCCAATGCGAGTGCGATACGTACTGATGCAAGGACGATAACGACTACGATTTCCACATGTGGATGTATTATAGGAGAACATTATACTATATTTGCTCGCAGATACTTGGAACTGCCATACTAGATGGTAAACAAAATACTTTCATTAGTAGATTTCATCAGAGGGAAAAACTATTAACTCCATTGTTATTCGAATTGATGCCACTGGTCGTCGAGCGTCTGCGCATGCCGATTTTAGCCGTCGGTGCTGACAAAATATATAGCACTTAAGCAAACCGAAAATCCGTGCCGGTGATCTACTTCGGGAGTCACCGGCTCTGTAGAATGATTGTATCAAGTCCCAACTATGCCGTGTACAGCAATGAATCGTCGACCATTTTTACGTACGTTTGAGTTTAATTGCAAGTGCAAATTTTACTTCATATGTTAAGTCAACTAGTTTATTCCCAGTTGACTGTGTCTGAATTTTACGAAATCAACAAAGAACGGTTACTGTGCTTGAGCTTTGCTAATAACAAAGGTCTCAAAGTGACAAGGATCGATGACGGTGGCGATGTTTGGAATTAATCGAATAATGAAACGATTTAAGAAGAAGCACACGCTGAAAATTTCAGATATTTTCAATGAATTTTCAGTAATTCTATCGGGCCATAGAAAAGGTAGTAATCGTAATAACAAGCACATTTCATTCACATTATGTTCTATAGGCTGCGCGAACAACAAGGGATAACAATGTCCGTAGACTAGAAACCTCGGTCGTTCAATGAAATCGCATAACAAGCGTCTTGATCATTTCTCAAGGAAACTCAGCTCGCTTCTAACTCTGTTCCGTCCAAGTCCAAGGCGATGTGATCTGGCGCTAAAGAAAAGGATTAAATACGTGAGCGCACGATCAAACCGTCGATAATACCTCCATCGGTTCTGGTTAATGTCGTCGCTTTCTCTGTTCACTTCTAAACCCCAGAGCGATAACACGTATAATAAATGATATGCAAAAAGGACCAACTAGGAATTCTTGCCTACGAATTCGCATGTATCGGTTGCATGTTTAGGCCTGATGTTTCCATTTATGGGCATTGCGTGCACTGCCTGGTCTGAAATAGAGTTTACGACAAACTAAGCATATCGCTGGCGCTGTATTAGCGGACGAAAATAATCTGAACAAAATATACGAGCGTTGGCGTGATGGCCCCCCACCACGGAGGCATTTAAATATGCGGTTTTGAGTAAACTTACCGTGAACTCCTACCGATGCAAACAGATGTAGAAATGCATATCTCGATGCCAGTTGTACCTCCGCTGCTAATCGTTTGTATTGACAGAAAAAAAATGCACCTACTATGTATGGCCAGAAACCCTACAAAAGCAGTCGCGAGTTACAATGTCTTACGAAACATTATTACCGGAACAATCTCGTCGGAATCGCAAGATATAGGCCGTACTGAAGGGCTGAAGATCCAAAAATTTGATTTCAGGACCAGCGTGTACGGTAAATTCATTTACTAGTTGTCTTAAATCAGGACCGAGTCAATGCGGTCGGTATTTGTGATTTGACAGCAAATTGTGTACAAACCCAGTTTGTGCACTAGATGTACAGCATTTTTATAGTACTTCGAAGTAATTTTTACTATCGTACTACATTAAATACTTGATGATCGATAACAAAATACTGTAAAGCGCACGCGCTACTAACGATATCTACGAACGTGGGGATCAAGACGTCTTTTTGCCATAGATGTACCTTAATACGTTGTATTTTCCGTGTGTATTCCAATTCTCTTCTATGCAACTTTCTATGCAATTTTTTGATGACTATAGACAAAAAAGATCACTCTCTTCTATATAAGTATTGAACTAAAAAAGGGAGACTCAACATGTCATTGCGTCACGAAGAAGCAGAAAGGAAACGTACTACTTTTATCGAGTTTTCACTCTAGAGGCTGACAAAGACGTGCACCATGTCTTTTGGATTTGCTTTGCTACCGTGTGTCTCCTTACTGGACCAGCCAAGAAACGCAGGCTGGTCGACAAACGAAGGAACGACATCGCTTGTGGATCAGTTCCCAAGCGGGGCAGGAGCGGCGGCGTGCTGCTTCCGACATATGTCCGCGCGTTCTATAGAGACGAATCCGACTTTCTTGCTGCCGGTAATTTCAGCATTTTGTTTTTCCCATTCAAAATAAGAACTGGCGCATTTCCTGTCAGAACCCCAAAAAAAAAAAAACTGGGAATCCGGGGCACCCAAGCAGCGGCTAACAGGGAAAAAAACGATTTGTATAGAGGATCAAATGAACACTGCTAGATTCTAGCCAACCGACCTCTAATGATCTTACTTTATTCTCAGATCCAGAATGAAACGTAATCAGTACTTGTCCCGTAGGATTTAACTACTGCCGTTGTAAATGCACGCACGTGGAAATGTTATTGTGGGCGAATCATCGTACCGACCTCGTCGTGATCTTGATTGTTCGCCCCCTAATCTTTTGTGTTTATCGTATACTCGAATGCGTAAGGCATGTAACGAAAAAGAGAGCTGTGACGCCAATTGTTTGAACTATAGACTAGATAGACTAGAATTACCTTGATGAGGTCACAAATGTAAAATTACAGATTAAATTATTTATTACTAGTGAATAAAAAGCAGAATGCTCTAAATCTTCTTTGTAGGGTCTGAAATCTGTCATAACCAATAGGCGATGTTGCTTGTGGCGCGTAAGGAACCAGTTTCGAATAAACTACGCACGAGAAAAATAATCATAATCTACCAACGCTGTTCGTTCGATAAATAACACGTACTTGTATAATGACCAAGTAACACTTGAAAGGTGCCGTTAATTCAGTAAAAGATTTCCCATAGAACGGAAAGCTATCTAGGAGTGGAATGCATAAGAATATGAACGCCGCGAGTAAGGAGTGCACTAGCAAAAACGCTGGGTTTACCTTTGGACGATCCTGCAACACCAGGAAGCTCTTATGGCTTCCTTCCCTTTAAACCCTTCGAACAGTGCTATAATGTGAGATGTTACTTTAGGTGCCGTCAAGTGCACGCGTTTCATGCCGTAGCCACGCGTCGTGAGAGCTAATTAAACGTAATTACACGTACAGCCCAAATAAAGAACTAGGTCAAAGAAAAAAGAAATAGATAATCATGTCTCAGGTGAGGATCGAACCCAACACCTTCGGCCATATTTGTAATATGTGAGGAAACGGATTTGCTGTTAATTCATTTAGGTGACGTGTACACGCTAATATTCGTGTCATTGTTGTTCTCTTGCAGCAACACGAATTCATGTATTCATGAATTACTTACGCCTACCAGCATTTCGATTCAATGAACAGCTGGCTTCTTCGATGCCTGGTTGGTTGGAGCGGAGTGCGCAGTGAACGACAAAGCCGGCAGGTACTATTAAAACGATCGCTGCCGCTGGTTTTGCTTGGAAAGCATATGCGCGACAGAACGTTGATCGCGCGTTTCGCGCTGGGGCCTATTTAGCCGTCAGTGCACGGATGCCGAATACAATACCTTCGCTCGAATGACTGCTCCGACGAGTTCAATTCTGCCCTCTAAATCTAAACGGCACTAGAGGGTCGTAACAACATCATACATTGTTTTCAATTGATTGAGCTACTATAATTCGTAGTGTGTAGATGTTGTTGTTACAGGACAAATAGAACAAGTGGGTGGCGCTGTTTGACTGGCCCGTGCCGTAGCTCCTTTAAAAGCCAGGGCTGTCGACTGTAATATCGGGACGGCTACGCTAAGCGATAAAAATGTCCGGTGAGCTCATTCAGAAAAGCGACAACGGCAATCACCCAGGACAAAAAACATTCGTACTATTCAGATTAAGGTGTATATATTGTTTGTTATGATAATAGCGACCAGCTGCTCGCTATAAGTCGAGCTTCGCTATTAGCCTCAGAGGATCGATAGAAATCAATTCGAAATATTTAGCAAACAATTATTCGAGGCGCGGCTCAGGTGAAGCTAAAAGCATTTCAATGTCAAAAAAAAATTACATTTAGAGCGACTCCTAGACTTCAGTTTGTTTCAGCGGCCTTCGACGATGCATTTTCTCGCGCGGTGTAAGATAATGACGTTGTTGTCTAGTCTTTTTACTGCACTGATATCTGTATCGGTTGTTTTTAGTAAGGTTCAATTGCAGTACGAATCAGATGGTCAGCGCGATAATAGACCCTTCGGATGAAAACCAGACTATCGATATTTGAGATAAAAACACAAAGTTGACTTTTAGAAAAAAAAAAGTTCTAGCGAGCTAGTAAGCCGCTTATTCACACACCACTTGTTTGACAGCTACCAGTTCAAACTGGGGTAACTCATTACTAATGAGCGCGATTTCTGCCTGTTACATAGTTTATTTTATTATTTCCTAGAAATATTGTTGCGTTTTTTTTTTTTTTTGTATAATTCTGTTTTTTGAGATTATATACCAGATTAGTGCAACCGGTCAAAGTATGATTGCTTATCAATCATATAGTTGCAGCCTAATTAGAATGATAATGTTAAAGCTGATGGTTAGAACGTTTAATTTTCTTTAAATTTTGCCTATAATGAGGTAGAAATAACTAATGGGAACTCCTCGCTCGCTCTATCGCCAGTTTCACTGTCGTGGTTTACTGTCTACCTGCCCGCCGTTTATATAAAAAACTACTACGGCTGCGACTACACAACAAAACGTATAGAAAACTCGCGCCCTGTGTGCTTTTGTGAGCCAGCTATATTTCTTTTATATGTAATCATCTATTGGATGATGTCACTAGAGTGGTCTACGAATCCGTCCAGCAATTGGGTTGGGTCTTTCTCAGTCCATGATGCCGAAGACAATATCAGCAAGGCTGAAGCGGGGAAGTTTCAATTTTAATTACTCTATTTGAATGTATATATATACAGATTTTTATAGATATGTTTATTCATTTTGCGTGTGATCCAAATTGTGTTAATTATTAAATGTGTCTACAAAAAAGCGTTACACAGCTGTCAAGCACTTCCGTTAATGGATGTATGGCTAAAGAGGAGAGCAAATAAAAACTGTAGCGCAAATGTTGCTGTTTGAGTCGACGTAAATTTGTTTTTATAGTGACGAAGATCGTCTAAGTCGTGCCAGTCTATAGCTTTTCCTGAATACTAAATAACCAAATAAAATGCATTTGACTGAATAATTCTATATATTATGAAAGATAAAAAAGAATACGTAATCACTGAAGTCCACAAGAATCTTCATAACACTAGTAACGGTCATCTTGTTATAGCTGCCCCTCGAGTACGCTGGCAGCGTTGAAAATGTTAAATAGTGCAACACGTAAAACTATTTGAGATTCGACCGAAATTTAAAAAAGGCATGTCCTCAGTACCTATACTATAGCAATCTCGTTGTGTACGATATTTAACAAATTTTTGTAAATATATGATAAGGTTCAGAGATCGTCGTTTTAAGTAACCTAATGTACTGAAAAAAATTGTATGTATGTAGGGAGTATGTATATGTAAAATATGTAGAGAGACATTAATCAAACAATGTGAGATTTCTATAGTGAAAAATATAGATAGACTTCTTGACTGCCTAGATCAGTGCAATAACCAAGTAGCTAATTTCTAAGCAATAATTAGTTTACCGGACACAGGTCAACATAGTACAGATCGATCTTATCCCAGCCTACCTATCCTAAGCCACTAGTCACGACGACGAAGCAGTCGAAAATTGCCTTTAGCTACTACTCACTCTGAGAATACGGTTGAAGTCGTGCTTGTCAACACGTAGAAAGTGGCAGTTTTCCTCGCGCGTGACAATGGTCGCAGCTCTTGGCGCGTCGTTGACCAAGGCCAGTTTTCCAAAATCGTCTCCTTCATGCAACACACAGACGACACCCTAAACGCACAGACGGGCAGAAAAAATTGCAATGAAAATGAACGTTAGACGTAAAAGTAACGACAGAAGAAAAAAACTCAACACCCGAATCTTTGATTGAATTGAAGTTCGTTGCACAAGCGTAATAGTAAAGCTGGAGGACCCAAAAGTACGCGGCAGATCTGTGTTGATCATGGTTGAGTCGGTCTGAGGAAGCAAACTACGAAGCACGCTTGTTTGCGCGATAAAAACACTAACAGCAACAATAACAGCTACGATACAATATTGGCCGAAATTGATGTTTCATACAATTATCCGTTTTGTTTGTTTATATTATTATGTTCATTTTGTTGCGTTAGTGTTGTTCAGGTAGTACCGTTTCGAACGCGTCGACTATGGATGCCTGTACATCAGTATTTGTACACTTTTGAATAGAAGTTGGACTAAAAGCCAGTTCAGTGCTCATTGACTTAGAGCAAAAAGATGTCGGGGTTCTGGTGGGGTCTGGCTTGAGTTACAATAAATACGAAACGTCCGAGTCAAGAGTAAACACGCTTTTCCATACAGGTGAGGTAGTATTAACATGGTTCCGGGAAGGAACAATGTTGGGTCATTGAAAACAGTAATCGTTCGACTATTATAAGTAAATATGCGGAAACGGTTACGGTATAGCAACACTCGCATCAAAGCCTGTTGACTGCCGTTACTAAACAGCTAATGAATGGACGATGCGTTGCTGTTGTTGCTGCTGTTACGTGAATGTCTTGATGAGGGTAAACAAGCTTCGCAAATGGCAATACTATTACAACATGATAATGATAGGACAGTCCAGTGTCGTCAAACCTGTTTGCAATGTAGAGCTAGAGGATTAACTAATCAGGTATTAGAAAAAATTTAGTGTCTTACACTAATTTTTCTGCGTTCAGAAGAAGACGTTCAAAATTCCAGAGCAGTTGTTTCGAAGTCCACATATTTGGACTTCAAACTGAATGTTATAACGCAACTGCGAGGCAAAATTTAGCGATAGTTAATCCGCCTAAAAATACAATAGGCACATTTTCATGGGGACATCCTGAAGCCTAAACAATTAATACAAGGACAGTGTAAAATACTAGCTGAAGGAAAATCATACAGATTTTTAGAAACTACCCTGTCCCTAAATGAAAGGGGAAATAGATTCTTTTTCAGGATAAGTACAATATCACAGCAACGATCCAGTTGTCGGTGAAGGAAGAACCATGTTTCAACCAATAGCTAGCTCTATACGCAGCCAATATATCAATAACCAATGCAAAATGTCAGAAATCGCTACCAGCCGTCGACTAGGTTGATTCATCTTAATGACTTAGAGCCAACGACGAAAGCGGCAGTTGTCTCCAACAATGACAAACGAAGTTCGCTGTTGACGCAGGCATCTGCAGAAAGCGATGGATCATGCAGTTCCAAAGCATCCAGTTTACTCCGAATAAGCAAACGCTCTTACGACGGCGGCCAAGATTAACGGCGGACACAATGCCTACCGCCATTCAGAAAACCCAGAGGAAACAATACGCTTTCAAGTCGGACATGCAGAACATCCTCCATGGTAATCGCCTCGTTATCTCGAGTGGCATACGGTATATTCGTCCTACAGGAGAACGGTGCTATAGCAGACCGTTGATCTTCCAGGGTACCCGTTACCATACCCATACCATGATTGTAGCTTATTCAATACTGATAAGTCAATTGCTTTTATATGGAAAAGTAGAACAGGTTTGAGAGAAGGCTCCAATCTTGCTTGATTGTTTATCAATATTTTGATATATTACCATATATATCGGACGACTGCATAGCGTCACTAACAATAGCCAATTAAAAGAAATATTAGCGATGAAAAGCTTCTGCGGGCAAATGAAACCAATACGATCATCCTGGAAGATATAGCACAGACAACGCAGGTGTGAAAACGTGGCCGTTAAATATATACATTCAGTCTGTTCAAAGGGTCAAAAAGAACGAGGCTTACCAGCGAACGTAATGGTTTGTTTATACACTATAATTAAAAAAGAACGTAGGACCTGCAGTAATATTATATAATGAGAGAATCGCGATCCATATTCTAAATTTTTTGAGGGGTGTAAACAAAGAAATACGAGCATAATCTTTTCGGTAATTTCTCCTTAAAAATAATTTTTATAAGATCGTATATATCAGATTGTGCTCGTTTATAATTAGATTACAATTTTAATCGCGATATTTTATTCTATAGACACGAAATGTGCCCGACTTGAAGATGCGTAGTCGACCACGAAGTGGACTAAAATCAAATTTTACCTTGCCATATATAGCTACGTTTACGGATCCCTTGAGGATGATGTACCATGACTTGCCTTCGTCTCCTTGGTTGAACACTGAAATGAATCGGATGAAAACATAAAATACGTGTTAGGCTGCAGCCTTGGCACGTAATCATGTAGCACCTTTTAGAAACTATTTCTAATTATGATTCTGTTTTTACCGTATAGGCTTTTTCATGGGTGTTCCTGGTAAGTATTTATTTTCCCTTAGCATATATGCGTATAAATTGCCTAAATGCAGCGAAAGAGACTGCTTAGATTTGTAATAACATCTGTTAGTATACCGCATTAATTCAGTGTACTACAATATTGAAAACGAGAACATAGAGCCGATCATTTCTTAATTGATTTATTTCTGCATGCTTGCATAGATGTACAGTATTTAAGCGGACAAAGTGGATTTCGTTCCTCCAATGTTATTAGCATTTGCTAAATTCCCTCTAAATTTTTTGATACAGCTTTAGGTTTCTTCATTTTCAGACGATGCACGAGCTAGAAATCCCCGTGTAGACGGTAAAGAACTGGGCTTGTGGTTAGCAAACGCTGATTCGTTATGCCGCCATTCACTTATCTGATATGTGATTACATTTACGTAACATTATGAAGTATAATATATAGCACCAAATAGAGTGGTAACCACAGATTCCAGCATGGCATTGAAGCAAAGTTCCGAATAAGGATTAATACGTGTTTTCATGGTAGGTTTAGCAATGATTACTTACAGACAGTATCACGCTTGGGATGCGATTCGAAAACCATGACGCCGGAGAGCTCCCTCTTGACTGAATTAGATAAATGCGAAAGTGCTTTGATTCGAGTCAGCTCCTCGTAGATAGTGTCCAAATCGTCCTTGCGACGCTCCGAAGGACTGTAACAGGACAAAAAGCAACATTCAGATGCAACAGACAAGTAACTTACCCAACCGAACGTCACGACTCCAGAGGCGAAAAGCACCCCACGTCGAGGATCGACCAGGGAAAACTTGATACTTTAATTGTACCAAATAGAACTCCAGTTGGAAAGACCTTGTCCGCCGTAAAAGAGGGCCTATCTTCTTAAGCTATCAATATATTATTTCCATTTTCAGTTTACTGCTTCGACTCTATATTGTGTATTGTCTAAGAGTAAGACTACGTTGCAGTTGCTGTTCTTTCTCCGAATCGTGACGTGGCCAAGTCGTCGTTACCGTACTTAGCTGAATATAATATCGAGAGGCAAAGTCGGTCACACACGAACTTTCCTCAGTTTTTATGGGTGACGGGCATTATTTTATATCCTGATATGATAAATGTTGGATTCAGGATTTTTTCGGCGACATCGATTTCACCGAACGGCAAACGAGTCAGCCTACAGACATGAAGGGTCTGATCCGTTTGATTCAACCTTTCGTCAATACCTCTTCTAAACTCACGCCTAAGCGTAATATTGAATTTTATTGTCTAGTTCTATTTATGATATAGCACAAAGAGTTACGACTGTGGCTACAATCCGCTTTTAGAGGTTTATGGTTATATTAGTTTGACGTTGCAAGAGGTGTCCATGCCTATAAGACAGAGTTCAATTTACGTGTCCAAATTTATTTCTACTTGTCGGTTAGAGTGAAGTAATTTCATACTGCTCTGGGGGTTACTTTGAGTCCTCTTATCGATAAAGTGGCACCTTGTTCTCAAAAATGACGTAGACTGCTGGCAATATGCCGAGGGTGTATGTGTGACGCTGAAAAATCTGACAAACTGTGAAGCAATAGCAACTCTGAGGACTGGCGTCAGGGATGCGTCACTTTTCAAGCATGCTGGCACTCATGCCATCTCGACCAGAACCGTTAAAGCTGTAGCTGATGACGCTCGGCAGAGTTCAAAAAAGATAGAATCACTTGAGTTTGAATGTCTATTTCCAGTCAAGCGCCAATTGTGCCTACACGCGCATATATCAGCTCTTGCGATACGCACAGGCGTTTCAGTTGGACTCGGAAATCCTGTCAGAAATGTTATTGGCTTTTTTGCTTCGATGGCTGGAAATGATGAATGAAACGCGCAAGATTTGTTCGGAGCAGCCGCTAGGCGCTCGCCATACAACTTCACAATTAGAATCTGAGGTAGACCTTTTGTTCGCGTCAACAAACGAGTCTATTATCTATGATAGAACCTAACTTCAACTTAATCTCTACAGCAGGGTCGCAACCTGAACTAAAATGCAGACCATTACGGGAAAATATTACTAGAAAATTTTACTACGACAGCAAACGAAACTAGTTCCGAGAAAAGAGTTGCTCAACACTTGATAAGAATGATGACAAATTTAAAATTTTTTCATGAAACAATTTCGAAGACTAATTGCAATTATATCATACATGCTTCGCCTTGCACTATGTATATTATATGATTAATAGACGTCTACGTCCGCGGCCGTCAAGTGAACTGACGTGGAAGATATGGTGGCAAAGGCAATCGTGTTAGCACAGCCGTACTCGCCAGGTGGACATTACGGAGGCTCGCCCGCTACAGAAGGTGGCGCCACCTGAACTCCTCGCGTAAGCATAGAAATAAACTGAAGCTTATTGATTATAAAAAAATTGCTATTTCAGTTTTTGATCTGTCTACTTTTCACTATCGCTAACCAACTCTCAGTCTATTGATTCATCTAGGATAAAATGCGATCAAAAGCATTTTGCGCTCGTTAGTTTCTACGGAAACGTTGCACACCCACAGTTTTATATATATGCATTTCTACGCACAGTTAAGTGCCTATGTAGTTTCTGCCGCCGCTGTATTTAGTTCTAACACAAAATTCATTTATTAGAGCTGAAAAAGTTCCCGCTCATTAAACTAAACTACATCTAAATAAACACGATCAAATAAGTGTACGCATCGTATTCTGATCAATGATCGGTGAGTTCGATAATTGACGGTTAATATGTATGTACTCTCTAATGTTATACGTACGGCTTTCTGAGTATCATACGCAGATTGGCGTCCGGGGCGAGCTGCATCAGTAGCACGAGGCATTCCTGGAGCTCGCACTCCGCCTGATTGCGCTCTTCAGAGGTCGGTAACCAGGGGTGGGTTGTGTCGTCCTCGCGAAATCGGTAGAACAGATACTTGTCTTCGAACTGACGCTCTCCGGTCACTAAAAACGTCGTTGCGCGAAACAGACACACACGAACAAACGTAAGCGAGAAACTCACTGATGATTGTTTATTGAGTTCTAGCTCAAATCAACGTACACCTTGTGCAGTGTTTTGGCTAAGTGTTACCACTTCAATGGCACCAAGTCATTAGTGCTGCCCTTAATTAATACTGCATATGTAAAAAGACACAGCTATTTAAGTTGCCTGTAATTCAGTTTCGTTAGCCATGACAGGGATCTTTGAGGATGCATGTCAGATAAAGCCGCATTCTGACAACCAGTTCTCTCCAAACACAATTAAATAGCAATATGAGCAGATAAAGTACATGGCGTTCGATGTTATGGTAAGAGCCTCTGGAAACAGGAAGGTGATCATTCTATTTAGCTATTAATTAAACAATAGATCATGAGCGTAGTGTGTGGGAATATAAGACGCCAATGACTACGAAGACTGACAGGAACTCAGTACATTAAACAAGCCATGCCACATCTTCGTTGATCGGATCCAAGCAACCCAAAGGACGGTCAGGCAACACCGACCCAACTCTGGCTTATTTGAAACAGTCGCTATTTCTGCTGAATGAGTCTTATTGACTTGTCAAGAAGATAAAGACATCATGGCAAGTCGAAGAGACAAAAGTTAGGTAACTCTTCAGGGAAATCTACTAGCGTAATGGAAAGGTTATAGGATCTTAATGCCGGATCTGGAGGGGGGGCGGAGGGTATATATATCGAAAGAAAAGAAAAACAATATGTTTGTATGCTTGGTTTTTTATGATTTGCCATTTGCTGAGATATATTAGCACGAAGTCTCTTCTACGTAGATGTACAGGAAGGCTTAGCCCGAAAATTAAAACCTAGTGGGATGTGCTTAACATTCAATTTAACACTCATCGTTTTAAACATTGAGCGAATACGCTAGTGATTCAAAGCGATAAATTTTACTTGAGACACAAAAAAACGTAAGTTCTCGTTTAGTTTTGTAATTGCTTGGTTAAGGAGTAACGACAGAAGATTATATTACAACTCTACGCCTGGGGACTGGGGAATCTAACCACGTGGCTCACGCTATAGCGAATTTGGCTAATAGGGTTTTAATGTCTAGTAAACTGCCACTGAATATATCTCTTGGAGCCTTAAGATAATTGTCTTGTTTACGTAATTGTTCAAAAACGGAGAGGACATAGAATTTTTGAGCTAAGTCGTAAAATACGAAGAATGCTTTAATGCTTTTGTAAAAATTGGTTTATAACTAATAAAATATCAATAGACCTGGGTAGTTTTTGTGATACGGGTCAGTTTTCACTGTACACAAAATTCTCAGAATGAAAAAAGCGTTCGATACCTGTATTCCCCAGCTTGTATCCACCCCCTTCATTTGAAGACGATATCGGAGCTTAGCCTTCGAATCGTTTGCCTGTTTAGAGAAGAGGCCGTGCGCGTCACGTCTAACTGCCTACACATCCAGTGCCTTTTTTTACAACCTTCGTAACAGCAATAATAAACGAACCTGGTCGCACATATGTCGGTGTTCGGACGGCGTGCTTATAAACTTCGCTTAGCTGTTCGGTAAGCTCGTCGCTTACGCCCACTCCCAGTCCGGCCTAGTAAGCGTGTGACCGGCGCCACACTAGATGCCCAGTTCGACATGCCCAATGAAGCACGCTCCAAAAGAGCGGAGATATGCGACCTTTTCCCACGTAAAGTTGCGTAGCTACTAACAGCATGTCGCATAGCTAGCCGGACGGGCTGTACAGCAGAAGCTTCATTGGAGAATGGCAAGCGAAGCTGACTCACCGGCATTGCCGTTTCTAGCATAATCGCGGCCGAAATTAGCATGTTCAGAGATTGCGGAACTAGATAATGCGACTTGATTTTGTCTTCAAGCTTCTTTCTTTTGAAGAACCGTACTAACGACAAAACATTGTGTGCTTGATTAGTTTTAGGGAGAACGTGGGCATGTTCATTCGTCCGTCATCTAATACTTTCTGCCTGTTGATGATCGGAATCGTCAATTATGGCTGGTTAAAGTTTCATGAACCGCGCAATTATAACACAAGAGAATGCTACATGCCGATTGCAGTCATTGATAGCAATAGCCTATACATATATGTACATTTGATGCTGAGGGTAGTGATGTAGCCTGTTGTATAAGCTAGTTACTATTTATGTAGGTATATCTGATATCCTTTGGCTTCGTTCTCACACTGTCAACTATGCTAGGTACGGTGCTGTCCTATTTTCGTAATGTAGTTTTCTGAAACCGCCTTTTAAAGGGCGCCAACCTCTGTTTGAGGATCAAGAAGAAAGTCACGTTGAACCTGTTTCGTTCTGTTGAAGTCGACGTGGCCGGCGACATGTTGTGGAATATTCATAGAAATCTGCAACAATTTCGCGTTGCATTCAACCTTACAACGGGACTGCTGCATCTCCAACAGCTGGACCGCGTTTACTGCCCAAATGCATGACTACTACAGTTGCCACAGAATTGCGCGCGCTTATCTCTGGCTAGCTTATACTTGCTTATCTAACTTATATATAACTTGACTTGGTTTTATCTTTTTCTTGGCCTTATTTTACGAATATGAAAAGGTTCGCAGATTCGGTGGGCGTCCATTGTTTGCGAACCGCACGGCAGTGCCCAGTAACTTCCTGCTTCTACGCGAAGGTACTGCCGATACAATACATGCGTCCGTTATGCTTTGTGGAGTTGTATATGCATTTATCCTTTTTTTGTTTCATAAAGAATTGGGTTTGTAGCACAAATCGCCTCCGCAGTGATACGAAGCGTACGATGTCACGTGACATAGTGTAAGGCAATATGAATTGGTTGTATACTTACAATAATCCGCAAAGGTTTATAGACAGATAATATGAATATAATAGTCTTCACGCACGGTTCTCACCATGGTTGATGCATCCTTCTTCTAGAAGAACCTGCCACATTCCTGCAGCCTGAGCTCGTGATGAGAGTCGCACATGTGTAGATCCCATCTGAAATCGTAGCTCTTAGCAAAATTGCAACTACATTTACCTAATAAATGAGCTGTGATAATTACAAGTAGGTATAATCTATTACTATAATCGATTAGGTAGCTATAGTTTTTCATACTAATTATATTTGACTCGTGTGATTGCAATAGCTTACGTGCAATAGCCAGTCGACCATTTCGGTGCCGACCATACACCTTCGGAACGCTCGATTCTGATTCACTCGACAATCCCTTAATAATTGTGGCGCCTGGAACAGTAGTACAGTTCGAAGCACCCACGAGGCTCGTGTAACAATAACCGGCTGAACGTTTCACGTGCAGACGAAAACAGAAGGACAAGGAAAACGTTGTTCCTTCGTCAAGCCCAATTGCGGGTTGGGGGGGGGGGGGGGGGGTAAGTTTTAACGGGTACAGACGATACAAAGTTGATGTGCATAATGCTTAAAGCTAGTGTGGGGTTTCTATTGAACAATAAGGTGCGGTACCCCACGATTACGTACGTGTTGCTGTTGCGGTGTCTGCTGAATTTGTTGAGACTGAAGCTGCTGAGATTGCTGCAGGTGTTGTTGCATTATTTGCTGAGCATTATTTAGTTGTTGTGTTTGTCGCTCCTGCTGCTGTCGTGCCACGGGTTGAAGTTGTTGTTGTTGTTGTTGTTGTTGCTGGCTTTGTTGTGGCGGGCCCTTTCCGTTGGGATGGTAGAAAGATGTCGCTGCGGGGGTGCTGCCACTTGTCACCACCTGGGAGTGTTGTGGGTTAGCCTGCTGAAGTTCTCCAGATCCCGTGTCCTGCGCCTGTTGTTGACCTAAAGTCGGCTGTTGCGCGCCGACATTGCTGTTTAATTGAAACTGTTCGCCCGGAAGCCGAACCGAATTCGTCGACGCGCGACGAAAGGGCTCTGTAAAATGCACGAGTAACATATAGGAGAAAAGCGTTGGTAAAAAATAACAGATAATCTAATAAATAAATCTAACAGATCATACGTAGCTCTGTTTGAGATAGAAATAGCGAGCAGTTGAAGAACCACTGTTTGTTTTCACAATAATTAGTTCTACCTGAAGCTTTCAGAAATGATCAGCGACCTTAGATATTTTAGGTAGCAGTACTTCATAGCCGTATTATAATCCACCATTAGAAAAAACCAAATCTAAGGACGTGCTCAGACTATGGTTTTGTGGTTTATAGCTAAAATTCTTACCCACAGTACGTGTGTTCCTCCCAAAACCGTTGACCTGTGGGATCCTTCTTCTATATGGTGTCCATATTGCTAAGCACCTTCTGCCACTATCTTTGTTTTGTCAAACATCTGCCTACCCGTTTTAAGCTATTGTAGACAGACTTGGTTGTCTCTAGACGCGGTTCGAAACTAGCGCTTTTATAAAGTGCCCCTGGTACTTTTTAGGTATTATAGCTCTAGTGGATCTTACTCTAATGCGACTTAATGCGAGTATGCATAGGAATGGAGGTAAACCCAGTCTAAGGCAGGATTAGCGTAGAACATGGTTCCTAAAAGCTGTAAACGCAAGTGGCAGTAAACTGTTGTTTGCATAATATCTATGTATCTCTGTAGTATTTGTTTTGCATGTAGATAGAATTTACCTAGAACTTGTAACGCGTCCGGTGGATGAACCAGTGAATGCCCATATGTTTAGACTATGGGTTTGACGGTTATTGATATAACGTCGATAGTTCTTCGTCTATCGTCGATAGTCGATAGGAATAAAATGAAGGTCGATATCAAGTAAGGACATGATTAGAACTATTTGAAATCAGTGCCTAAATAGAGCGAAACACAACAATAAACAAAGTATAGTTTACTGCTATTTTATTACGGTGAAAGTGAAATGCCTTAAGGTAATTTGGACTTAATGAATAAATATAAAAAACGGAGAAAGTGGACTAGAGTACGCAATCCCGCAAGGTGTTCAAAACGGCTGAGCTAATCTTAGGCCAACATGACTACGAATTTTTAAATTTTAAGCACGGAAAACTCTTACTGCGTGACATGTGCAATAGGAATAATATCTTATTGATTTGTCCGTATGAAAAATCTAAATTCACTTTCACAGAATTCTTTTATAGCATTTACGTTAACGAAAGTTGAAGCGACAACTCCTCGATTTCGTCAGCCTCTTGGCTTAAGAGTCAGAGAAATCTATATGTAGCTAATGTAATCTCTTACACGCGACCGTTTCTGATTTGGACTTGAGCTGAAATCAGCATTACAAGAAAATTTCAAGGCTAACCAACTATAATTTCCTATACTAGGTTTCCTCCGATTGCTTTCCCCTTTTATGGCAAGTACGACAAACGTGCGGAAACTTCTAATGAGACTAATAATAACGCTTCATTAAAACTTCGTAAAATATAATAATAATAATATTATGTATACACAATAATAACATAATATATATACTAATGTAACGCCCGCGTAAATATAATTTATGCGGGCACAAACCACCGGCGATTTTAGTAACTCCATTGATTGCGTTTATTGAAATCTATTCGATCAATAAAAAGGTGGCATAGTTGTCTATCGTAAGGAATAGTTCTCCAGTACAGCAGCCTTCCATGCATCTTGGTACCGCAGCGATCGAATTTGCCGATCTCCGGTGTATATATATATTTTTTTTTCTTTAATTCGAACGTGCTATGGGTGCAGTATTGTAGATAAAGAACCTACCTGGCTGGTTAGAGCTGTTTATATAATCGGGTTGAAGACTGCCCAGACCAGAAAGGGGCGGCCTGGCAGACTGATTCATTAGTAGCTGTGTCGTTTGTCTCGGATGGCCTGGGTGCCCTTGATGGCTAGCAAGGCCCTGCCCGATGTGGTGCTGGGTGATGCCCCTTAGCGTGCTAAGGGGTGACACAATATCCTCCATCAGGTGACCATTTCGCTGAAAATTGAGCAAGCAGAACAATCGACCAGTTATTAAGGAATAATTAAATTTTAGCAGCGGTTTATGATAGGCCAAAGACAAAATCTAATGAGTCTAAAAAATCGACCTTTAACACAACGAACATAATGCTATTATTATGCATATGTGATCATGGTCCTTTTCATCTATTTGCGGCCGGATATATTCAAAACTTTGTTGCCAAACTCTATCTCGCTTTTCCTATAAGTTATTCACTGTCCGCAATCAATTAATTCTTTTCTGTAGTATTAAGTTGACTTGCCTATGGAAAAAACGTCTAAATGTTTTTTTTTGTTGTTTTCTGAATAACAATTTGCCATGATAATAACTGTTGCGTAGGTAGTTATAAACAGATAATCGTTGTGTGGTATCGCAGCAGAGATATCGTTGTCCTGTCATAGGTTAGATACCTCATTGGCCTTAAAATTGTTGAGCAGCTAGCAGACTCTTGTCATAAGTAAGTATCCTTATATTCTCACATATAGCAAGTACAATCGTACAATCTAAGCGGGCTGATAAGCGCTGATGCTTTTTCTGTGGGCCGGCATATAACGGTAAGCCTATATAAATCGACACATGCTACGCCCCTTTTAAATGTGTATTCGCTATAGTTTTAGAAATATTGCCACCTTGCCGCCCATGTCATGTCGTTGCCACAGCGCACTGATAACTAATCGAAATTTCAACTAATAATAACTCTAGCCGTATCTACCTTGATAGCCCGCTGGTGATAAGCCGTAATTACATTAATCTCTAGCTGGTCAGCTGATAAAATTTTTACACGCTTTTACGGGCCATGTTTAACTAGGCATGTGACTAAATGAATTAGAATGCAGTGATACAAAACAATCTACTATATTTTTTCATTTCATTTAAAAATATTTCCGCTTTAGTATGCCAGTAGTAGTGTTACCAGGGGGAATTGTATGGCTGCTCATTTGTTCTTCCAGCATATGCTGACACCGACGTCTTTTTCTAATTGGTTTTCTGTGATATCTTTACGAATAAACATTAACAAATTTACTAAGCGTTTCGCTTTATACGTAGGCTACTACTTGTTCATTCTGTAAAATAGGAATCATTTATTCAACATTTATTTTTGGCCAGCTTTTAGGTGGAGATTATTACGCTGCGTAGTACTACATCAAGCTCTTTCGTTGTGTATCTTTACGGTTTTAACCTGTGATGTGAACACCGACTTACGACAAAAGGGCCGTTACAACAAGTAGGACGTATATTTTTTGAAACTTCCACAGTGAGTTATTTTTTTTTCAGAAACAAAGGAAAAATCGCTCCCTAAAACAACAGAAATAGATTTGTAAGAACGAGGCATCCATGAACTCAGAGCCGATCAACTGGACAAACCCTTTGTTCAGTCGGCAGTCCGGTTTAGATCTTCTTAATAAGTATTATCAAGCAAGAATGATAAATAAATAACTAGAGTAAAGAACATAAGCCATGATAGTCATTGAACGAAAGGTAAATGCCACTCAGCGATGCAGCATTAACCAAGTACGATTCAGATAGAGGTAATAACGACTGTTTCACGATAAGCGGAGTCCAGTTGCCGAGATCGTGTAACAGGCATGCATGTAAATGTGTGTATACATCTTAAATTCTACTTCGAACCTATATGACACATTGAAATTTTGAATGTCTGTTTAATGGATTGTTTCGGTGCTGATTGCGCCAAGACAGATAGACGGCCATAAAAGGTTACCCCAGGCTACACTTATCCGCATTGGAGCTACCCCACCTGCTCATGGTGACACTGATCAAAAAATAATAGGCGTATCGTAAACAAAGCCGTAGCCATAACAACTATATGAAGCCAATACGTGTAGCGCAGCGAAAATCATGAGCCGATACAACGACTTTTTTCCTCCGACATTATAGTCAACCCCATGAACTACTACAACAAGTGGCAATTTTAAGCTGAAATTTTGATACCCCGCAGTGTGAACACAAATATTAATAAGTTTATTTAGTTCAACTTCAAACTTTGCTATTTAGGTAATCTGTCCAGAAATATTACATTTATATAGTGTGTGCATATGTATGTACATAGATAAAGATACACACGCAACTTCATAATTAGATTTTAGAAGAACGCGTCGATCAGTCTCGACCTGCTTCCCGCAGTCATCTGCACGAAAAACCATTACGTGTCCCTTCTTTTCTAGTATTATATTATGAACATTTCCAGATTGTTAGGTTAAACGCAATCGGCTTATTTTTACCGCCGTAAACTTTGATCATCGAAAGCCTTAATTACTTAGAGTAAACAAATGTATTTCAACTGGATAATGGCAAAATACGGGTGCCCAATACAAGACGCCGTCTTCTACTGCGATTTATGTGTTCCCGCGAAGAACACTCAACGGATATATATGCAACCATGACTATATGCATATAATGGTAGGATATTTATCGCTTTTCTAAAGCTGAACGATAATGCGCAATGGCATTAGTCGCGGTTCGTTGAATTTACAGTATTTTACTTTCTTTTCCTACGCTAGTGCTAGGCTCGTACGCGGCCTTTCCTGTAGTTTAGAACGACACCGTCATTTTCTTCTAGGCAATAGAGTGTTTCTTCTTTTGTTTTTGCTGTTGATCGTATGATTGCTTATTTTGTGAGTTGCGTCCTTACAAAAGTGCGCTGCTACTTTTATTACATTTTTTTTCTTCAAAAAAGCTTATTTCCCGGGTCACGGATGCTGTCCTGTAGAACAGGAAGAGATGACGCCACAAACAGGCGGAAGCATGCTCCGACTAACTGTCGTTTCCTTTTAGAACTCATCCAGATTTTGTTAAGTTTTCGGAGGTGGGAAATAGTTACACGGTTGACAGGGCAGTACTAATGAATATTGGTCAAGGACTTTCGAACTAGTCTATAACTTCATACACAATAACTCTATCCTTACTATGGATTCGCTTATGAACTTAGCTTCTGGCTAACGCATAAAGCCATTACAATAATAGTATAACTGGGGCTGGAGTTGTTACAGTGACCAGCTGTGCATGTGTCTTCCAGTACAAACTTGTCATTTTATTAGAAATCAAGTTAGTTACCATTGATCAAATCGTTTCTTTAGAAAAAGACTTCTATTTTTTTTTAACCAGAATTTCACTCTGGTTGATTAAACGCCCTGTGGCTCACGCTGCGTTATCATATAACTATCAACTACCGGTTAACATAAAATGACAAATAGCGTAATGATTACCCGTTACTCTTACGCGGTACTTGCTGCTGATAGGAAAAAAACAAAGGGCAAGAATATTCTGCCATTTGCTAGTATTTCCGTATCCGTTATTCGTTAGCATCAGTAGTAAGAAGGCGTGATGCGGTTACCTCCGCGGATTTTATTATCTAACAGACATAGTCCAAGTATGTATGATAATGTATAGGTACATTCAGTGTATACATGGAGAACAATTTTTGAACAGTTTCGTATTTTAGGAGTTGGAGAGCCTTTATTTTACAATATAATGGCGAATTTAAGTACGCAACATTTTTTTAACTTAACGCCATTTCTATACGTCTATAATAGGACATGTTTATGTTAGAAATGAAATAGCTACAATGATGACTACTGTAGTTACTTATATATAAAACGTATGCTTTTAATATTATTGTGGTTTCTTCGTTTAATTACGCTTATCGTGTAAGTATATGAATATACTCCTATTACGGTCAAGTCCTCTTCTTATCGCAATAATTTACATATCTCCTAGTACTTTAAGAGATGTCATATTAGGATTCCAGATGTTGTGTTCCACCCGGTAGATATAAGTATAAAAATTGGATAAGAGCGATCAACCCGGTCCTATAGGACTTATAAATTTTTTATCTGGGGATTGGTGTCTAATAGCATCAAGTCCTATTAATAGAAGGATTATAATAAACCTATTGGATGCACAACGAATCGTCCTTTGCTGCTTATTCATTGCTTCACCAATACCGTGTCTGAGCCGCTTAGAAACGCTGCGCGACTACCCACTCAATATCACACAGACGCACACGCGCACACATAAAGACCTTCCTCTCCCCTGCGTATTCGGCTTGTATCGTAACAACGCTGCTTATTAAGTAACGACATGTCTGGCCGCTCTAGAAAAAAATACACTTTGCCAATAGGCCATCAAAAAGAATGAAAAAATTAAGAGGAAATCAGTATTCGCCTTTCGAAATCAGCATTTTGATACGTTCCCCTAACAAGGCGCAGCATTAACTGGGAGATGCTACATTGCAGTCAATACGTTACCTGCGTATTTGCCGGACCACACATCCTTTCTAAATGTCCTACTTTAAAGAAAGGGAGGGAGAGAAAAAAGTACCCTCCTCATCGAATCATACCTAAACACTTGTTTCGCATGTCGTTAAATTTAGCTTGGCTTTTTGAAACTAATTTCAATGCAGAACATGCAATTTAGGGTGGACCTTGGTCTATTTCTTCCCTAGGATCGCTTCGGAACTCTTCAAAGAGGTGAAGTTGTTAATTTATTGTTTCCGATAAAAATGAATTCTGATTTCAAGTTCAAGTAGGTTTCGAACTAGATCAGCATCGCAGCAAACCGGTTGTCTACTTAGATCAGGGTACAGTTCGATTTGTTGATTAAGATGATTTTACTCTAGCTTCTAGAACTACACACTAGAGAAGTATAACGGACGGTGCTACTCAAGGGTTATGTATTTACCATCTGAAATAAACAACAACGTTCTCAAAAGAGATTCGATAAGCTAAAGCGTTAGTGCAGACAAAGAATGCTGTTTTTTTCTCAAATCCCTTTTGAACCGCGGTCGTTATGACGTATTAATTACACTATATGTTACTACTTTTGCCTTTGTTTCCATGTCAGCCATTTGTAATAAATGAGGTCCTGACTAAACACTGTACACGAATGCACTGCAACCTAAGCCTCGTTCAGTCCTTTTATAAGGTGCAGGCATTCAACTTAAACTGTGTCCGTTTGTTAGC